GCAGTGAAGTATGAAAGCCATTACCAGCAAACTCAGCTGCGCGGGTAGTTGCCGTCTTCCTGGATGGGGACGCCGAGACGGGCCACATCAGTGGCTAGAGGCACTATCAGACATGGCCCAGTCGCGCTCATGCATCAAAGCTATTGCCTTCAATGCATAGCTCCTTTTCCAACCACCCCCCACTTGACAGCCCACTGACAGTTCTGGATTTATGCACCAATTTACCAGCTCGCGCGTGCAATGCGCACCTACCTACCCCCACCCAAATCATCGGTGAACGAAACTGCGGCAGCTACAACCACTGTACGACCAGTACGCGGTTCTTACAGCTGACAATGATAATTGATGATCGGGTGCACTTTGGAAGACTTAACCCGGAGACAGCACAGTAAAATGGTACATTTGAAGTCGATGCTCAGCATACGGACAATAGGTAGCGACTTTTGCATTTGTATGCTGGACATCATATGAAAACGCTGAGAGTAAGCTAACCTGTTCCACGGTTCCTACATCCCTGGATTGGGACCTCGGGGCTACTTTCATCACTGGATAATGACACCGGCAGACATGGCTACACCACACAGTCTGTGCGGATCCTACATCAAAGCTGTCGGCCTCGATATGTAGCCGCTCAGTTTTCCGAGCTAGCCACTCATGCCATCGCCTCCGATCCGATGCTTGGCTATATCTCCTTTGCTCCTCCATTTTCCGGTGACCGAAACTAGCAGCTGGGTTAGGTCAACCTTTGGTACATGGTTAATAGCTGATAAGCTGAAATGGACTGAACTGAACTCTCCTTATAAGGTTATGTTGGCATGAGTGTACGGTGGTGAAGCACCATGTTCCAATATGTCGTTGCTGACAATAATAATAATAATAATAATAATAATAATAATAATAATGTCCTCCGTCTGGTAATTCACTGGATTTGGAAGTTTTTTCGCTTCATGTTATACCCAAAAATTCATTCTGGTATTCCCATCATGTCGGAATAAACCTCACTAGAGTGAAAGGAAACTCGAGATACCGATTTGGTGCACGAATGATTCAGCTTGACTATCATCTTGTTGATTGACTCATCTTGGCAGTGACTCTGGTTTTCAAAGCTGAGGAAGAAAGTTAGGGATGGGGGTGTTAGAACATCCTATATCCGTCAGGTTGGCTCAACTTCTACACGCCACCCCAACTCAGTGGACTGATATTTCTAAGTAGTACTTTTTATTCACCGGTGACATTTTAATATACACCCGGGGGAAGTTATTCATTGAGGTCGTGGCTTGCTCCCAGGGTGAATGGTCATTTACTGGTAATGTGAATGTTTAACTTTACCAAAGCGTCTATCCGGAGGGGGGCTCTAGCTCTGATGGGTTCGTGATGCTGATTGTGTGAATAGGTTGTCTTCTACCCCGGAAGGAGACGATACCTGCGAAAGTTGCGAGCGCCCTTCTCTCAAGCTATCGTGCTTGGTTTCCAGATCGTCACCAGTCAGCACGTGTCCAGTACTTTGCACTAGCTGGGCGGAAAAGTTAAGGTGTTCGGTGTACAAGGTATGCAATCCAGAGTGTGAGTACTAATTTTTGATGATCTTTTGGTTCTTATCGAGGAAGCCCCATGTGCTGAAGGAAAACGATCAAGAATAATGTGCGAGATGGACCAGCTGGTTGGAACGCGAATTTACTGACTGGGAGATTCGTGGTTCGAACCCGATCTCTGCCTCTCGACTTCCCCTGTCAAGGCTTGGGCAACCTGGCAGTATCCCAGTCCTCGTGCCTCCTTCGTGTGGCATGGCAGCTAGGCACTGAAAGGGTACTACAGCTGAATGATTTATTTTATTTTTATTTCCCCTGTCTGTGAACTTTCACAAGAATGCACGTCAGTCAACGCGTTATCCGTTGTTATTTGTAGTTTCTGCCGTTGATATGCGAAATGTGCGTTTTATGGGGAACTATCCTAGCCGGACGAAGTGTTCTCATATTGTCGTAGTCGTAAAAGACTGATTGCACAAGCGGAAATCCCTAGCTAGCTAGAGGCGCAATTCGGCGGCCGGTTTAAGTTGGACATAAAGCAAAACGACGTCGGTGATTTTTTTTTACAGCTGTTCAGTTATATTTAGCTTCAGCTTGACAACCATGAACCATGTGCGTTTGTACGGTAAAAAAGCGTTCAGCTGTAGCACCCTTCTGGTGCCTAGCTGCCATGCCATCCGAAGGAAGCACGAGGGCTGAGATACTGCCAGGTTGCCCAAGCCTAGACAGGGTGCCCAAGCATAGACAGGGGCCCAAGCCTAGACAGGCGGTGGTTCTTATCTCAGAGCTGATGGCCGCAGGTTGTGTGGAATAGAAGTGGTATGGGAAACAATGGAAACTTATGCAACTACCAAGATACGTAGAGCGCTCCACAGCCCCGAGTGGCTCTAGTTGTTTGAGACAGTCTCCTTTCCCCAGGTTGGGGCAAATAGATCAGACAAACACTGACTGAGGGCTTGAAGAATGCAGGTGAAGAGCTTAGGAGCTCGCCTGCGGTCGAGGTAATATGTGCAATCATGCACCATCGAGGTTTTTCTGACTCACTCAAGTTCTAGTGCATTTCAACAATCCGACCGATTTGTAGCAGATGTTCACGGGAATTCCGGGTCCAGCAGTTAAGATGTCCTTTATTGAAGATGGTCCTGACCGGAAGGTCCGTGGTTCGAACCCGACCTCTCCCTCTCGACTTCCCTTGTCTAGGTTTGGGCAACCTGGCACTATCCTAGCCCTCGTGCTTCCTTCAGGTGGCATGGAAGCTGGACACGGAAGGGTGCTAAAGCTAAACGACTTTATCTTACTTTTTCATTGAAGATGTTCGCTCCGGTCGGCGATTCAAGCGCCGCCATTGTTCTATCTGGCATCCGGTGTTTGAGGGACCTGGTGGAGCAAACGGAACTACCGGAATTGGGCAAGGGTGTGGAAGTGACATATGACGATGGAGTAGCTGGAGCAAAGTTCAGAGGGCGGTCTTGATAAGTTTGTTTAACCTCAGGATCTGCCAGCCTCTCAGTTGCTGAGTGAGTTTTTCGTCCCTTATCGGGCCATGGAAAACGAAGTGAGGATCAATTTCGGGCGAATTTGTGGTCGAAATGCACACGAGTTCTCCAAGACCAGTGTTGATCAATTATTGATCGGCGCCATCGATAGCTGATTGTGATGCGACCAATTTGGATCCGTGACTTGCAAGCTGTTGAAGCACATCATGTAGCCAAATGACTTCGGTTGCTTTGTAAATTAGTATTGCATAGAGACAATTTGCAGTCAGCTCACAATTGGAGTAGCCGTTCGCTGTCGTCCGTGCGCACCGAGTCCATTCCAAGTCAGTCACCCAGTTGAGTCTCAGATGCACCAAGTCTGCCTATTTGTGCCTTCGAGTTTCTAGTAACCAATGCCCTTTTAGCCCGTCGAACTCGCTATAGCTCAGTGGTCAATGTCCGAGCTTACCTACCGGAAGTTCCGTGGTTGAAGTCCAACGCCGTCATCTTGACTGTTCCTGTGTAGGCTTGGGCGACCTGGCAGTATACCAGCTTTCAGCTTCCTTGAGTGGCATGAACGCCGTCATCTTGACTGTTCCTGTGTAGGCTTGGGCGACCTGGCAGTATACCAGCTTTCCGCTTCCTTCGAGTGGCATGGTATCTGGGCACCGAGAGCGTGTTACAGTTGAACGATTTATTTTTTATTTACCTATATGGACGCCAAGTGCATACAACCTTAGAAGACAACCTCGCTCAGTTGTTCGGATGTCCAGTTGACGCAGCTTTCCAGCGCAAACATTCAGCTCACCGTTTGAAGTGCAGTTTGTATGTGTATCGGCGTATGTGAATTGCATATGCAATCTTCTGTTCGAGCATTCCATCAGACGGGTAGAAGGAATTGGAAACCATATAAACGACATCTTTGTCCCAGTCACAGGACTTCACCGGATGTGGATGTGCCATTCTATTGTTGTTGCTAGTTTTGTTCTTTGCCATCGTCATTGTTGTTATCATCATTATACTGAGTCATTCATGTATTGACACGCTTGCCTCACTGGTGCATGTCCGAATGACCTTGTCCAGGTAGTTACTATTTACTGTTTTGTGGAAGAAAATACCGGGCGTCGATAAAAGATCAAGTTGATTCACATGATTTTCCCCAGCGAAAGACTAAGACTTCATAACACGATTAACGTGCAATTTATCCCTCACTCCGTTTTCGTGGGATTTTCCCCTCTCGCCTTATTTCCTGCTGGTTATCAGGAACAAATTCACCGCACGCGGTCATTGCGCGGGTATATCATTTACGTGTACAACTCCTCTCTTGTTTTCCTCGGGTTTCAGAATCTAAGACAGTTATGGCAGATCAGTTGCTTCAGGAAGTTGGAGAAACTACAGCATATATCGCTAATCCTGATGGCACATATTCAGCCGTTCCGTTGACAACCACTGAAGATGGACAAGTGGTGATTGCTCTGAACGATATGACCTTTGGAAATGAGAACGAGGAGATGGTTGTCATAGCAGCTGACGATAATATGGATATGGCCACGCTAGAGAACTTGATAGCATCTGGCGCGGTTACAACAGTGCGTGAGGAGAACGGAACCGAATACCTACATGTAAGTTATGTCCCACAGTTTCGCTAACCATTCTTGCGCATCTAGTTAGCAGACCCCAATCTTGAAGGAGCTCAGATAATTGAGTTGAGCGCCGATCAAATGCATTTACTTGACCCTGCTTCCCAAGCTTATCTCACTGCTGCCGGTTTGGCTCCCAGCGGTGCTGGATTTGTCACCTTGACTGGTGCACCTACTGGTGTGGCCTACCGCTGTCCATCCTGTCCAGCAATGTATGCGAATGCTAACGCCTTTACTAAACACATGCGGGAAAAGCATTTTGTCAAAGTTTACACCTGTCGGCAGTGCGAAGAGTTTTTTGAGACTTTGAGCCAGCTATTCCTGCACGCAAGACGCAGCCATGTGGATCCGAAGAAGCCAAAACGCAATCCGGCGAACTTCAAATTTCACTGCGATCAGTGCAATTACATGACCAACAATGGTGGCACAATGGAACACCACAAGCGAGCGCATACGGGTGAAAAGCCATATGTTTGTGATGTTTGCAACAAACGATTCGCCCAAAAGGCCAATATGAAGACTCACCGAAACAGACACATTCACCGCGACAAGATTTTTCGCTGTGATACTTGTAACAAAGCCTTTTCTTCCTATGACATCTATCTTGCACATCTGCGAACTAGAGAACATGAACTTCGGGAGCACTTTGCGATGATGGCATCATCACAGGTTGGTCACATTTATCTACTTCTAACGATTCATATTCTTATTTCTAGTTGGCTCTGGAATGTCTCGGTTGCGCAGTCACTTTTGACAGTATATACAACTTGAATAAGCACACGCGAAGTTGTCGGATTGTGCGTACTTTACAGACTAAATTCAGATGTCTTCCCTGTAACGCCTATGTCACTGATGTGGCTTCCCTGAAAGCCCATGTCAAGGCTCACGAGGGAAGCCAGATAATTTCCTGCCCCGTGTGTGGAGAACGCGGATTTCCCGGATTCAACCAACTCAATCATCACATCACTCGTGCGCACGCTCTGAAAGTCAACCGACGTCACGTCTGTCGGTATTGTGAGTCCACGTTTGAAATCAAGCGTGACCTGGATATGCATATCCGGAGTATGCACGCAGAAGAACGTAACGCCCGACAGTCTCGTGGTGCGGTGGGTCGACTCAAGTGCCGGTATGATCAATGTGAATTCACCACCAATTCTATTATGTTATTGGATCGACATCACGATCAGCATCGACGCCAGGAAGAGGAGGGAGCCAGCTTTTCTGTACCTGTCCCGTCAGCTGGAACACTCACTTATCCACGCAAACGGCAATTGAAGCAACCGAAACGAAACCGCAGCACGGACACGTATGATGATGATACAGACGATGATGAAGTTCTGGAAGAGGAAGACGAAGAGGCGGTCCCGGATGCACAAGAAGAGCGTGTTTATGAGGATTCAACCCCTGAAGACAATAGTAAGCGCGTTCCTTATTTTGAATTATTTTCCCTTGTTTTTCCAATCGCAGTCGTTTAGCAGATACATGGTACCATATGTTCCTTCACGGATGTACAATGCGATGCTATAAAGTCACATAAACACCACACTGCATCCAGAACCGAGTCTTTGGTATCGGATTTGCTATTGGGGTTTCCAAATATTGAGAATGCGGTTCATATTTTTTTCACTAGTACGTGTGCAGGCCTTTATATCTACTTCCACACCAACCCAAAAAGTGGGAGAACATGGGGGTCTCGCCTGGTTTCCCTGACATTTTGTAGTGAACGTTCAGTATTTATAAAAGGGGCTGCTCATTGTCTCTTAAGAGCACAAATGTAGATTTTGCCAGTTAGAGTGCATGTATAGTGCGTCTGTGCTTCGAATTTCTCAGGTGTCACTTGTAACAACCGCATGTTGCTCGGTAATTTAGACTGGTTGATTGGTGCGAAACAGAACCTATACCTTTAGACTCTTGTACCCTTGACCATATCACTGACTGGTGTTTATGTGGGGGTGGTTCACCCCTTTTCCCTACCTTGTTCCGACTTTCTAGCTGTTGCCAGCGATTTTTTGTTTGGAGGCAGGTTTAATGGACTGTGTTTCTGTTTTTTGTCTTTGAGGTCAGACGCTGCGTCACTTTCAGCGTATGATGTGTTGCCTTTTGAAGGCAGTTTTTTCGACATCAACCCTAACAAGTACTTTGTTTGCGGCGCTTAGTCGGCGACTGTTTGGTAATTGCGGGATTTAGATAATTTGGGTGTATGTCAATCTGTCTTGTCAGTGCCTTCCGAATATTTTTCCTATGCACTTAATCGGGTTCCATTCATTGATCCTCAGTTTTATTTAAATTTGCGAATACCACTCTGTTCACATTAAAGTGGCATTTTCAAACTACTCCCAATACCTCCCCGGCCGAAATATGGTTTATGATACAGTTTGGTACAGTTTGATGATTTTTACTGGCCACTCTGGTCATTATGACGGTCGAGCTCTAGATGGCCCAGTGGCTAAGGTGCGAACTTACTGGAAGGAAGGTCCGTGGCTCCGACCCAACCCTGACATCTCGACTGTTTGTCTGGGCTTTGCGTACCTGACAGTATCTCATCCCTCTTTCGGGTTGCATGGTAGCTCAGCACCGAAAGGGTGTTACAGTGGACGAACGATGACTATCTCATACAATCATTCCCGTGTCCCGATATGAATATTGGTCTGTCCATTACCGTGTACTGGGCTTGAGTTTCGCTCGTTTTAGAGACCAGTGACAGTGCGTTAAGCATGAAATGAATGCTTTTGGACAACGCTCTGCTGCTTCCACCTGTTTTTATACACCAGCTTTCCCCCTGTCCTTAATTACCTCCCTACTGTATTTATCGTCAGCGAAAGGATAAAAGCGCTCTTGATGGATGTTCTTGACAGTGCATTGGAGGGTAATCAGGGCGCTACGTGGGTCTTTTTGCTTGAATGCTGGAGGTCGCACACACCATCCTTGGATGTGTGGTTGTACGGCGTCTAAGCCTATTGTCTTGAATACCTATTTTTTGTCTGTAGTTAGGTACTAGATAACACGTCCTTGTGTGTTGTCTTTGCTTATATGCGAGCACATAGCACTGAATGATACAAATTTAGTAGTTGAATCAAGCGAACTTTATGCTGTTTGTTGTGTCTACCTCGGTGTACTTGTAAAACATTTTCTGAGGGTCATTTAGCTCATAATCGTAGGTACTACTTTGCGCTTCGGCATTCGTGGCCTATCTTCGCATTTGTTGATCTTATTCCAGTACCTGTCCTTTTGTTTGACTGATGCGCCGTGTTTTTTATCGTCTTCTCCAGCTATTACACGTAGAACAATCACGCTGATAAAATCTAAAAAGGGCACTTCACGTGCCTCAGGGTTCCCCAACTCGCAACTCGGTGAGGCGAATACTGAGTTAAGCAAGGAGGAACCTGAAGTTGATACAGTGACTGGCCGCCGAATGTCCAGAGCGCGTCGTCTGCCTGCCTGGTACAAAGACTACGACACAGATCTTGTCGCTCCTCAACAACCAGTACTCAATCGTGAACAGTTACAGGCCCAGTTGCCTCCGGGTATTGAACTGGAGGATCCATCTGCCATAGAAAAACAAGATGTACCGACAGAGGAATGGAATATTGTTGTTTACGAAGATGAAGAAGAGGAAGATGAGGATGAAGGGGCTATGGAAACGACCACCAAATGTTTTGAATACGTCCCAATGGAGGACGGAGGAAACTGTGATCCGGAGTTACTCACTGAAGCACCCGAGAACCTCCTGATCCCCTAAAGCGGTTGGATAGCTCCTCATTCCATATCACAAAAATTTCATTACGATTCCTATCCACATTCATCCTTATCTTGCTCATGATCGAACTGTACAGTTCAGATACGCCACTTCCACTTACATAAGAAGGTGAAAAGAACTACTGTTACGAAAGTATTTGTTACAAACTTGGATGCTATGACTACACCACCACTGTTCCACTTTGCCCGTGTTCCCCAGTCTATTTTGCTGTTCCTTCTTACCGTCGTGTCTATTTTTGGCAGTTTCTGCTGCACGTATACACTGTAAATTGCACACCTTGTATAAAATAATGCATATCCTCCCTCGTCGAAGCTGTTGCTTAGTACACGGAGGTGCACTGACGTGAACATCCGGTTTATTGTTCCGTATCATAGCCTGAAGTCAATGCCAGTGTCTTTATGGCCATCTTCAAAACCGCACAGGTATATGCACCATTTATTTTATGGTATACAACCATGGCTACTGCTTCGTAGCTATCCAGATGTTTCCAAATTGTTAACGTTCCAGATGGTTAACCTCAGTGACTCCCAACCTTTTGCTTCTCGCAACCTCTGTAATCGCGAATCATTTGGCGGCTTACTTCGTCACCCGGTCAAGTTGTCGTTCAGTGGAATCTGTAGTTGTTTTAAGTTATGATCAAATTGGTGGCGTTAACCGGGTGTACGGAGAACCTAGGCTAGGGTATAGCTGCACGCAAAACCGATGCATGACGAACGGAGTCATCAGTCCTGAGTGCTGGGCCTATAAGGAGAGAGTTATTAATGGGGTGGGGAGAGGGCGAAGAAAAAGTATGTGAAGGAGAAAGAAGGGAGGCGTCAGCAGTAGCCTGTTTTCGCTTACCCGCCCTGCTGTATGCAGCAAGTAAGGCGACCCGGCTGATGGCACCACGCGACGGCCGATGTGGCATGAGAATATTGTTAGTTGTGTAGGTCATGGTTGTACGAGGGCTGGGATACTGCCAGGGCGCCCACACCTAGACAGGAGGACGATTAGGGTCCTCAACCAAAGCCTTTGGCTCAAAAGCATAACCGCAAGACAGCGGTGTTTGGCGGGGAAATGCAAATGCATTACCTTTTCTACGGAACAAGTCGCCATACACGTTCCAACCCCCAACCTGGAGGGCCAGGAGACTGTGTTC